GAAGAGGTAAGGAGGGCACAGTCAACTGTGATCTGAGCAGGCTATCGGCACCTTCTCGTTGTTTTTCTCTCGCCTTAGAGGCACAAACTTGGCAACCGTGTCGAGACACCCCTCGTCACGAGGTTCTTGCGACTCCTGTGTGCCAGGAGCAATGGGCTGAGGAAACCAGCTTGAGTATTCCTTCCTTTGCTTCCATTGATTTCGGGAACTCAAGTCCTGTTTCAATTGAGTTGTGATTTTTATGCTCCTCGCCAAGGTCGTTGGAGCTACGAGCAAGATGATAGGATCAGGCCTGGTAAGGAGGGATGCATGTTGCAATGCAATACAAAGATTGAAGATGCACATCAACATCATATTCGGTTTGATGTGCCACAGCAGCCCTGTGAGCATTTTATCGTATTTTGGGTTCATTCCAATTGTTAGACTGATTCTCTTGTTGAGCATCAGCGTTGTTGACGGCTCCAGCACATTCCAGCTTCTGCATGGCATGAACAAATTAGGCCTGCTCTGGATGCATTGGCACGTGCACGGGATGCAGACCCGGGCAGCCATGCTTGGTGGCGCATTGGTTGGAAAGTGGGATGGGAAACATGACTCACCGTAGTGTCAGGTCTGCCTTAAAATTTTGTCACGCCATTTCCCAGTTTCTGATGCTCATTGTATTGACATGCGCCATACACAATAGGAATATAATATATATATATATACACATATACATATGTTGTTGGGAGCGGGGTTGCCTTGATGCCCTGAGCAGCACTTGCCAGTGTCCATGGAATTTCTGGGCAAGGTCTCTGATAAAGGGTCCATCTCAAGTTTTAGGTACTGTAAGTCCTTGTCACTTTGTCACTGGGATCTTTTTTTTGCGACAAGTTTGTACTTCAGAAAGCTGGGGCAATTCTTCATGACATTCTAAGGAAACACATCGATGAGACACACAAGGAACTTGTGCAGCAGGACGGCTGTTTGAACCACCAAGCGTGCATTGAATGGAATTGAGACGGCTCTTCGTGCCAGCTATGTTTCCTTGCCCTTTCAGGGTTCAGCGGCTGACTTTGACTTCGACTAAGAGTCATATCAAATTCACAGGACAGCGTCCGCGTGATCATGAGCGAATACCTCTGCCTCACAGCCCATTTGGAGGAAGCGAATGCCATGAATGCATTTGTGTGAGAGCATTTCAAGCATTTTTTTACGACCATCACTTGCGCTCGGGATTCTCATGCGATTGATCCAACTCTTCTTTTTCAGGCCGCCGACGCCGCGGATGCCTCGGACGATGCCGCGGATGCAGGGTCGTATCTCTCCAGTCGTGCCCCGAGGGATGGTGCCGTCGGAGGGACGCGGAGGGCCTTCGTGAACGGCGGAGGTTGTGAGGCCTGGCGGAAGAGCTTGGTGAAAGCCTTGCGCCTGCGCGGGAGCTCAGAGGAGCTTCACTGGAGATGGAACAGATGGAAGGCCAGGGCCAAAGTAGTAAAACCAAGAGCACGGATGGATGGACGGACGGACGGACGGATGGATGGATGGATGGAGGGATGACCTGGTTGAGGCACCGATTGGTGGCAGATGTTGGGACGTGGCTAAGGTGTAAGACTGGTGGCTTCTCCATCTCCTCTGCTCAGAGCCCAGATGAAAGGCCACCTCAGACCTTCAGTTTTACTGAGATGTAAGGCCACTCCTGCCTGAGCGAACGACATATTCAGCTTGATGTGGAGATTGGGCCCGAGCCTCAGATTGAAATCTATCCAAAAAAGGCCCTCTCTGGAGAGGCCCTCTGGACATTGAAATGGCTCCTCAGGATGATCACTCGAGGAAACGATCCATCGGTGACTCTGACCATTCTGAGAATACCAAATACCAAGAATTAGCTGCGTCTAGACGGTGCCTCTGGAACCCGCCTTCCAAGAGCAGTGTTTCACATGAGTGAGAACCTCTTGCTGTAAAATGTACGCCAAGTCATTTGCTTTTCAGGAAGGGCAGCCTAGGCACCCAAAGAGCTGGCTTGTGAGAGCCCATGATTTTCTAGTTCAAGTGTCTGCTTGCTTGAGACTACGGCGGGTCGATCCTGGAAGACGGCCTTGCCGACTCTCAAGTGGGCTTAGAAGATTTAACCACTTGCAACCTTTTTGCTTTGCTTCATGCAGGGTACTTTGGTGTGGTGGCTCAGGGAGTGCTCAGCGAGCATTTCCACTTTTCCATGTCACCACATTGGTATCCGCCTTGATGGGGCAAATGTATCACGAACCTCAGGTGCAGCAAACACGGTGTCAAAGGGGCTGTACCCCGGTCCTTTTACTTTTTGTTTGTGGATGAAAGGTTTCCCGCTTTTGTGCTGCGGATTTTCCCGTTTTCAACTTCGTATATAACATAGTTTTGACTTGCCATTCACTTGGGCTGAGCGACTGCAGCGTGGTTATAGTGGTTTTTAGCAAGTGCTGGTCGCCTTGATGCAGATCTTGGTTGGATCTTGGCTCCCGAAACGGGGGAACGAGTTGAGCTAGCCCCCCACAATATGGACATGCTCTCTCCAAATCCTTTGCAGCATGTCCTACCGTTGGACAGCTTGACCGACACTCATGATCAACCTCAAGTTCATTGAAATGCGCACCTTACAAGATTATCCGAAAAATTGGTTTAGAATCACCACACAGACCCACCAAGAAGCACATTGAGCATGCTGGATCACAGACGAGGAGAAAGCACATGAAACCACGCTTACCAGTCCTCGGTGATGGCCTGAGTTCTTGAGCTTAGTCGACAAGCTGCTTGCCCAGGCCTGTGGGCAAATATGAGGGACAAATTGCAAGCAAAGGCGGCCAAAAGCCATCAGCCATTGAGGCATGCCAGCGCCAAGAACTACACGACTCAAGGCCCAGCTCAGCCAAGACTAAGACGACGTGGGTGCGAAGAGAGTGGGAAGAACAGAAGGTATGGTAAACTGAAGTTTCAACCACGCGGCTGATGGCCATGAGCCCATTGTAAAGCCATGCGTCTGTCAGGTCAAGCTCAGGTGGTTCCTACTTGCATTGCTATCTTGGATTGCAGAGGCCTCAGTTATATATATATATATTTCTTTTTTTGGGTTGTTTGAGGTCTTTGCCTCTTTCAATGCACATCGACATTCCTGTTCAGAGATTGTGCTTCGGGGGTTTGCAGTTGAGGGTTGAGCATCCCCAAATTGCAGCTATAGCGAGAGCTAGCAACTATATATATATATATACATACATAGAAACGATTCCATTTTGATTAGAGTCCACTTTTCAATTTGTGGTGGCCACTATGGCTGAGCAGATTCTCTGAAACCTGCTTGCACTCTGGCTCACAGGCAGTCCTTCGAGACAATGAATTTTGATGAGGTTTGAAGGATTACCTAGTTGCAGAAACGTGTTTACCAGGGTGTGCAGTATGGACAAATTTATGCAAGACTGACATATCCAAAGCACCAAGCAGAAAACACCATGCAAAAAATGCACTACAGAGAGACCGGGATTCCTGAGTTTGTGGGGATATGTTTGCTTTTTTTGCTTGTTTGAGGTTTAGTTGAGAGCATCAAACGGATATGTATATTACTGTAATAAAAACTGTAGAGTGTTTTGGAACTAAACTAGAATGTCGCACAGGTTGTTACTGGCTCGGGGACCGCACTCCGTACCAGCAGGAATCACTGCGCTGGCACAACCCTAAGGCCCGTTCAGCGGCGAGTCTTACAAACACAAGAGACAGCCGCAAAACTTGGGTTGCACAAAAGCACCAGAACCCAGGAAGAGCAAATGGCAAAACCAAGAGGCAGAAAAAGCATCTAAAAATACCAAATGCCAAGGGCTGGTTGATGGAAGACATCTGGCGACATGGGCACATTGACCGAAGTAGGTTTGTACACCTGGCGCATGCCCTCCCTGGTCTATGTTTCTTTCGCTGGAGCTTTGGTGCCGTAGCTTTGAAGGGCAAAATGGGGCTTTCACCAAAATGCCGTCACCCACCTGGATGATTCTCTTCGCCGAATGGGCCATGTCCGGGCCATGTCCATTGGGCGGAACACGCTGCCTGTCTTGTTACCCTTGGAGGTCGAAAAAGCCCTCCCAAAGCGTTGAAGAGGGTGTACGGGTTAACAATGGGACTCGACATTGTCCCTGTTCTAGTCCTCCATTGCCCCAAGCCACGGTCACGAAAGTTTCTCTGATCAGGAAAAGGGAAGGACAAGACTGAATCACGAAAAGCCAATCAAGGAACAGTGTAAGAGCGTCGGGCACCAGCAAAAGCAAAGAAGCAAAGAAGCACAACATGCGACAGTTATATAACGGTAACAACGAGCAAAAAACATAAACAAGGCAAGGGGCACCCACAACAAAATACAAACCGCAACAAACTTAGAATGGTGGCATTCCGCCAGGCACTGAGTCCAACCTTGACGCTTCCCTCCTACCGGCCTAGATCTGGTCTTAGATGAATATGTTTGCCCGCTCTACCACTGTCACCCTGGAAACATCTGGCACAAGACCGACGCACTTGGGAGAGTATGGTGTGTGGTTGTTGCCTTCTGAGTTTAGTGAGCCCCGCATCTGGTAGCGTTCTGCCTAGCTCCTTCCCGCATTTTGCGGATGCCTGCACAGTCCTTTTCGTCTTGTCCCTGCCCCGGCAGATGTCTGCATTTTTCCATCTTAGTCTCCCATATTGGTTCTGTTTTGCCCCTTGGTCTCCGGCCTTTAGGGGAAGTTGCCGCTGGGTCTCTGTGAGACGACTCCGGGACGATTCATGCCCGCCAGAGAGAGAGAGAGAGAGAGAGATAGAGAGAGAGAGAGGGAGGGAGGGAGGGAGGGAGGGAGGGAGGGAGGAGAAGCAGTCGTTACAAACGATAATCCGAAAAGCAAGGAAGCAGCAAAACACAGGGGCCACCAGCAGAACCAAAAGGAAATAAGAACAAGTCAAGAGAAGACGAAGAGCAGCCCGCGACCCTTGTGCAAGCATACCACTGAGGATAGTAAGTACAAGCCTGCGCCACACCAAATCCACCGCAACAAGTATCGAAGAAGACTGTTCTTTGCATTTCTCCATCCTCTCAGTTCACGAAGGGCTTGCTAGGGCCTGCAGCGTGACAGAGCTGAATGGGCCGCCTATCGCAGCCATACAGCCTGGAACAAGTGGAGCAGGACGGACCGATGTCTTGTGTTGTCAGTGTTGCGTGCGATCAGAATGACTCCGTGCCACCTGAGCGGGCACAGTCGGGAAACAATCGCTGCAGGCTTTGAGGAGCTTGGGTGAAACCCCGATTTGGAGCAGCTTGCCTCGGGCATTGCGCCAACACAAGTGTGTCGCTCCCTTGCACAGAGTCAGTGAGTCACGGGAGGCTAGAGATCAAAATTGATTCTTTGTGCACCGAGGTGAATTTCAAAGCCTTTGTCAACGTTTGGCCGGGGGGTACTGTGCTTTGGATGGCAGTTGGAGAATGGTACAGAGTCCGAACGTGTAGGGCAAAGTGGATCAGAATTTGCACGACTGTTGTCCAAGCGGCTGGTAACAGCTTCAACGATCCACTACCTCGCGACATGTTCCGCGGTGCACCGTTTTTTCTATCTTTTTTGGTTCCTTAGCGGCCTTTGCGATCAGGTCTTGGTGCAGGGAGGCGAGGCTCCAAAATTGGAACAGGCGCTGAAGGCAGGGGAAAGAGGGACGGAAAGATCTGCAGGGACGAGGAACACGACTCACAGATCCTTCAGATGCCGATAGGAGCGTTTGGGAGAAGCCATTGAAGATCGGGAACCACAAGCCGAAGGTGGACTTCAGTGGGCCAAACAGGGTAGAGATGAGATTCTCGATCAGAGTGCAGATTTAGTCAGCCGCTTTGTAGTGCTCAGTCTTGCCGGTCAACTCTCCTGAACACTTGCGGTCCTGGGTGGTGTGGGACCAGTCCTCCAGTTCCTTGCAGGTGGCCCTGCTTGGCACCTTTTTGTGGATGGCTCTTGTCCGGTCAACAAACTTGCGGGCAAGGTGCCAACAGCTGCAGGCCTGGCGTTGGCAGAGTCCGACCATGACTCTTTGACTCTTTGGTGTTTATTTGGGAGATTTGGCTGGGGGCAGCCAGCCTGTGCAGGCTGGGGCATCGCAGTGTATCGTTTTGATCAGAGGCGGGGGTAGGCATGCTGTTTAGATTCGAGGATCTCAATTTTTGGCCGTTAATTCTCCGTGAGCGTGATCCGCTCCTTTTCTGTGCTAAAAAAGGGCTCCGGTGCGATCATAGCCATAAGGCCTTCGAAACTTGGTACACTTCGATTTGTGCACCCACACTCCCCCTTTGGCCGATGGCCGAACACGGGGTCACAAATTGCCAAAAAGCCATCCTCCTCTTTGGAGGTGTGCTCAAGCCCCCTTCCTCACTTCTAGCCGGTCTTAAAGAGCGTGTAGCCCACCCAGCTGAACGGCAAGTAGCAGCCCTTCCGGCCCGATCGCTGGTCGACCACGATCAGCTTGGTCTTCCCGAGCGTGCTTCCGACCACCTGCCACGCGATCGTCATTCGCCACGGGCTCCACTCATCCAAGTCCCAAAGCCTGGTGGTCTCAAAATCGTACATCTTCTTTCGATCTTGCATGTGCTCCCTCACCGTGATCTTCTTGCCATGTTGATGGTCCTCCAACAAAAGCCAATCATCCTTGGCTGATGTCCTCCTCGGCGGGATCCCCACTCTTCGACGAAGCTTCTCCGTCAAAAAGCCCGGCTGGAAGTTCATGTCCCCCAAAAAGTCCAACACCTCCTCATTCTTCACCTCCCACCTACCCATCGTGATGCCGTAGCCGACATGGGTGACCAACCGCAGAGGGCCATCAATCGAAGGACCAATTCCTGGTGTTGACTCCATCAGCTCTGGCTGTCGATCTGCAGCTCCTTGCCCGTCTCCGCCCCCTTCTCCGTCACCTTGTGGTTGACTCGAGGAAGCAGCCTGCACCCTTCGCTCCATTCCAGGCTCGCTGTAGACGATGTGGTTGCCCTCTGAATCAACCCTGACCCAGGTTCCACCAAAATTCCTTCTCGGGCCCCTTCGCTGCATCATGCGGTCCCAGGCTGCCGGTCCCAACCCCAGTTGAGCCCTCCTGTTTCGCTCTGCCTCATAGTCGTATTCCCCACGATGCCATACGTCTGGATCGGGTACTTGACGGCGTCCAGCTGGTTCAGGTCGGCCAGCAGGTGGTTCCTCTGGAACATCCATCTCCCGTGACTCCGATGGCTGCCCAGTGGGTGTCCTCCGTAACTCTTCCGGCCTCGAGTCAACCCTCATCGCTCTCACCGAGATCCTGTTCACCGGGTTTCGGGTCCCCATCTCCTGGTGCTGGTAGGATGGGTCGTCTGGCTCTGCCCACGGGTAAAGGTCTTCGTGGGCTGAGTAGCCGAATCCCCGCGACCCTCGTGCAGTCGTGGTCAACTCCTCCACACAGTTCACCTCCAACTCCAGAATCTTCTCGATGACCAGCTGGGCGATACGATCTCCTTTGTAGATCCGTAGGTTCACATCAGAGTGGTTTCTCAACAGCACTTTGACTTCCCCCCTGAAGTCCCTGTCGATCACTCCAGCTCCAGTCTCAATGCCTCGAATTGCCAACGACGACCGCGGTGCCACTCGTCCATAGCTACCCCTCGGGAGTTCCAACGCGATCCCGGTCTTGATCAGCACGCTGTCTCCCGGCTGCACCATGGTCTCGATGGTGGAGTAGAGGTCCAACCCAGCCGCCTGCTCTGATCCTCTGGTCGGTAGGATGGCATCTGGCGACAATAATTTCACCTTCAACTCCTCCTTTGGCTTGAACCACCTCTGCACTCCCGCTGCCCCGACCCTGAAGAGGATGTCGCCCAGGATGGCAATCGCGGCCGTGATCAAGACCAAGATCCACCACTCACTGCTCCCCTCCTCCTTGACCGTCTCGGATGCTTCGGCCCTGGTGACCATGCTTGCAACCACTATCATCAGCCCGATCACCTTCAGGAATCTCGGGTCTGGTGAGCTCCCACTCAGGTCCATCTTCTTCACTTCGATGTTCTTCGTCCCCTCATCACTCTCTCTCAACCTCAATGCCTTCTTGAAGTTCAGGAGAGGCTGTCCAGTCAGCTGCTTCGTCATGCCGTCCGCCACCAGCTCTGTCCCAGCCACGTGTTCTAGAGACACCTCCTTCAACCTCAGAGCCTCGGTCAAGCCTGCTGCCCTGATCCTCAAGTGTCTCGTTCTCCACGATGATGTAGTTCCAGCTGCGATGGCGATAGCTGCGGTTGAGTCGGAGTGCAGTTTGACCTGGATCTTCTCCCCAAGGACTGCCTCCATCAGCGATCCCGCTGACCTTCCACAGATCAGGCTCTCCAGCAGCGACATCAGTTCGGCCTCCGCCGTCGACAGGGTGATGAATGCTTGCCGGGTCGTATGCCAAGCAATCGGCGTGCCTCCCACGCAAACCACGATGCCCGTCAGGCTCTTCATGTCCGATGACGCATACGAGGCATCTGAGTACACTTCAACTCGGCTCAACCCATTCTCCATCCCCTCTTCAGTCTCGACCGTGCCGGAGATGCACAATGCCTCTCCCCTGGTTTGCCGAAGATAGGCCCTCACCTGCTTTCCGATGACCATCACTGCCTTCGGTCTCTTCGTGGCCCACTGGCACATGATGTTCACGGCGAGGCTGACATCTGGTCTCGTTCTCCCCGCCACCCACAAGAGTTCACCGGTCTCCTTCTGGGCCTGGGTCACCTCAGACAACTGCGGGTTCTCTTCCTCCTCCGGGGTCTTAATCTGGCTCAGAGATGCCTTCCCCTGTTCGTCATACTCCATGAACAGGTTCTCCAAGTACGCCCTCTGGTGGATGGCAAAGTCCTGGCCCTTCTTCTCAATCTCCACCCCCAAGAAGCGCACCGGTTCTCGACCTTCCCTCACCCACTCCGGTTCACCAATCTTCCAATGCATCCTGACTTGGTCGATGAACCCCTGGATGATCTCTTCTTCCCCCACCATCAGTACGTCATCCACGTACGTAGCCAGTGCCCCCTTTGTTGTCCAGTTGTCTTGACCCTCCATCTCCTGTACCAGCCAGATGTCCGCTTGAGGTGTTGCATGCACCCTCACAGGTCTCCCTTCTCTCGACCACCGGAACTCCTTGATCTTGCCATCTCGGTGGTCACACCAATCCCGTGGAGAGGTCACTAACCCGTAAAGGGCTTTCTTGACGAGCCACAACTTCTTTTGATCTCGAAGCACTCCAGCCTCCTGAAAGATTCTTGGTGGTTGGACTACTACCACTCCACGGTCATGAGCCGCAGGGGCGTTGAGGAACGCCGTCTTAACATCGAGGGTGCTCAGAGCCCACTTGTTGATCGCTGCCATCTTGATCAGCATCCTCACCTCAATCCCACTGGCACCGGAAGCGAACGTGGACTCAGAGCTCTTGGCATGCATGAAATTTCCACATGCCACTCCACGACATTTGTGTCGACCAGTGCCTGCTTTTCGGCTGAAGATGGCCTTCGCGGGCACCAGGCCAAAGTCCCTGCCCTGCGCCCTCGCCTCCTCCTTCAACCGGTCCGACTCCTCCTGCCCAATGGCTTCCACCGCCTCGGACTCATTGGTCAGTGCGACGTACTCCTCGATCATGGACGGCTTCCACTCTTCCATGTTCTTCCTCACTTCCGTCAGACTCACCATCCGCGTTTGCAGAAACTCTGGGGCCTCCTCCGACTTCTCCTCGATCTCGGCGACCATGTTCCTCTCCTCCTGTCGACCGGCTCGAACAGCTTCTTGGCTGATCTCCTCAATCTCCATCGTGAGAGCCTTCAGAAACCTCTCATTCCTGACTTCTCCGGAGTCCTCCTCCAGAAGTTGAAGCTCTCGAGACAGCATCCTTGCTCCCCGATGTTGCAGCTCCCCCCAATCTACGGACTCCATCTCCTTCTCAATCTGGAGGAGTTTGACCTTCCCTCGAGTTCTCCCCGGTCTCTTCCGTGGCTGCTGACTCTCCTCTCGATCATCAACCTCATGAATCAGACCCGCCTCTCGGTCTGGCAGCGCCACCCCTTCTGGCATGTCCTCCACCTGGATGATGTCGGCCGTGTGGAACAACTTTCCCGTGGAGAGCTCCTCCACAAAGTATCCCGGCGAGGTCATAGACATCGTGACCGCTGGGCACAGCACTCTCACCTGTGTCCTGGTGGTAGACAAGTACTTCTGGCGGTCGCTGTAGAGCTTCCTTTTGGCCCAGACCACCTGCCCAAAGGTCGCAAGCTGTCGATGCTTCCACCCCATTGACTCCAGTTGACTTCGGAGTCGAGTGTCAGCCCAATGTCGAGTGGCGTGACACCAATAGCTCTCATCAAGGCCTGCAGCCACTAGGAGGGTTCTGGCACCTCGTTTGAGCTGTGCCACTGCTCCCTCCGCTCGGCCGTTGCCCTTAAAGTTGTCACCATCTGTAAAAGTGCGACACAGACCTCTGTCTCGGATCCACCTGTCGAAGATCTTGCTCTGATACTCGCCAGCCCGGTCTGAGTGGAGCCGCTTGAGAGGAAGACCCAAGAAGTTCAGCTTGGCCACCATCCGTCCCACTGCCTCCAGGACCGCCGACGCTCCTCGATTCTCCATGACCTCTGCAAGCGTCACTTGCTTGACCTGGAAGTCTCGCTCTGGCTCCACCAGCGCTGCCCATTCTTTCTCATCATCCAAGCCCGGCCATGGTTCTCCTTGGTCGTGATCACCTCGCTCCTCGTCAACCACCGTCAGTTCTGGTCCGTCACCTTCTGCCCCAGTCAACTCGTCCTCTTCGTGGATCGGGATGATCGACTGGCCACTCTTGGTAACTGGGACCAGGTAGACTCCCACCAGCACAAAGCGGCCCTTTCCGAGTGGGTCATCTGCTAACATGAACGGCCCTGCAGTGTCGATCGACAGCGTATACGCTTCAGCATGTGGGACCCGCTTGTGCGCCCTGCCGCGTGATGCAGCAATGACGCAAGACTTGCATTCTCTATTGTAGGGCAGATGCCCGTTCAAGAGATGTCTTTTCCAGGCCACCAAATCCATTCGTTTCACCTGGTTCACTGGGGAGTTCAGGGCCTCTCGAACAGCAATTGCCAGCGCCTTCTTCAATCCGGGCGCCCATGCTGACCAATCCCTGCTCTGCTTGATTCTCTCGGTCAGGTCCTCCGGCAGCGTGGCGTTTCCACCTTCTCCCTGACCTCGGATATCTTGAAGTTCGGCCAACCGCGCTACGTTGGTTCCCAGTCGAGTAGGTTTTCTCCTCTGGTGCCCCATCGGGCCTTGGTCGAAAGCCACTTCGAACATTCCCCACTTCTCGCGGAAACTCTTCCATTCCGGCCAGCACCAGTAGGAGACATAGCGCTGGACGTTCTTCTCTTCGTTCCTGATGTACTCCTCGGGATCCTCCGGCTGCTCGATGACAAAGAGGGTGGTCTTCGGCTTCCTAGCCAGTGCCGCCCGATGCTGGAGATAGAGCTGCCTCAGGTACAAGACCGTGTCATCCTCCACCTGTTTCCGCAGGTACCTGTCCAACTGTGGCAGTCCAAAGCGGTAAGGTCCTTCTCGCTCCCTCAGTGGCGGTGGGCCCGGCTGTCTATATCGCAACCTGCTCATCGTCCTGCACGGTGGCCCACCAATCAAAGCGCTCAGAGTTCCACCATCGGCGATGTTCAGCAGGTAGGCAAAGATGTCATCTCGGAGCAAGTTCATGGCTGGGTCCAGTACAGTGTCGATGCACAAGACGGCTCGACTTTCAGCCTCGAGTTCTTTCTGCCAGAACTTCTTCGAGTCCCCACTGAACAGGTGGACCACCACTTCCTTAGCTCTTCGAATCCGCCTTCTCTCATGCCTGTTCCAGGGCAAAGCTTCTCCTGTCCAGCTTTTCTTAGGTAGGAGTCTCTCGAGGATTTGGTGAGGCACTTGCGGGAAGAGGTCCTTGAGCTCCTTCAGCTGCTCGGCCTCGTCCTTCTCCAACTCTAGGCCCACCTCTTCGCCGGCCAAGTAGGCCAGTCTGGCCCGTTCCCTTACCATACTTCGCTCGATCTCCTGAATCAGCTCCATGGCCAACGTCTCACTGATCGTAGGGCACGAGTTCTCCACCTTGGTATCCAGGACAATGCCGGCCGGATCTGTCAATTCGAACCTCGACTTCTCCCAGACCGCCTCATAGCCCAGCGAGATGAGCACCCCCAAGGGGACAATCGCCTGCACCTCTTCCTGGGTCAGCAGTGTCCTCGTCCAAGGGAGGAGTCGAAGTACCGCAGTCCCGGCTGCCAATTCCACATTGACCTCTTGGGCCCTGGACCATTCCTCCTCGCTGGCTGCCTTTCGCAAGCAGTGGGTAGCTCCCCCATCAAGAAGAGCACGTCCCCCTTCTCTCACCTCCAGGCTGCTGAGCCGAATGGCCTTAGCTGATGCCGACGGTCGCAAGCTCTTCAAGAGTGTGGTGGCCTCGTTCAAGAGATCTTTCATCTCGCCGGATGTCCCAGCACCCTTGTCGCCCTCGTTGGAGTTGGTCTGATCTGTCTCGCTCCCCCCAACCTTTGGACCAAAATCCACAGCATCGGTCTTTCCAGACCCGGAACTCCCCTTCTCCTTGATGGCCTTGACCACGTTCTTCTCAGGAGAGTCCTTCACCTTGGACTTGGATGCTGGGCATTCCTTCTTGGAGTGACCAGTCGCCGAACACCCAAAGCAGCGGCCCTTCTTTTCTATGCCTGTCCAATCATGCTTGAACCTGCAATCTTGGCCTTTTGGACATCCATCCTCTGTTCCCCAGAAGCGGCAGATCTTCTCCTCCTTTGGTCCATCCGTCTTTGCCTTTCCAGCCCCCTTGTCCGGCTTCTCCTCCAAGACCGTGGACATCGCCTTGACCTTGGTGGTCGGGGGGTTGGACTTGACCTCATTCTGGGGCTGGATTTCGCTGATGGCCAGTGACTCTGCCTCAGCTGTCAGCATATCCGCGAAGTTCAGCACGGATTCCAGCGTAGGAGTCACGTCCACCCCCAGCGCCGCCCTAGCAGCAGAGGTACGGAATGCTGCTTGGTTCGATGCCTTGACAATCTGTTCAGACATCTTGTCCAAGGCCCCCAGGAGCAAAGTTGAATCCGGGGTCGCGATCTCAAGTTCCTGAGCTCGTCGAAGACTTCTCCGCCATCCCCTGAGGAGTTCCACCGTCTCATTGAGGCCCTGTGGTGTTTTTGGCTCCACCAGCTGACGAAGAAGCCTGGATCTCTCAGCCAGTCCTCCCGGCTGGTACCTCCTGAACAGAGCGTAGAGCACATCCACCGAACTTGAAGCCCTGTTCGCCAGTGTCTCTGCTCGGATGGAGTTCGGCACGGCATTCAGCAACATAAGCTGTCCCCTCTGCTCCAGCCTGCTCCACACTGTACCACACTCTGCCGGCACTTGTGTCTTGATGTGAAGCCGCTGGACCGGCTCAGCTCTCAGCCATTCCCTGTAAGCCGCCATGGCCAACTGCAGGACTTCCTCCCACCATTTCCATGAAGTGGCGCTCAAATCCCTCATAGTTGGGGAGATGAGTTGAATCCAATCTCCCAACACCAGCGACCCAAGCTCCCCTTCTCTCATCTCCGGTAGGGACGGCAGCTCCACCGAACGAATGGATTCTCCCCAGCCACCATCGGAAGCTCCTGTCCCCAACTGTCTCAACACCGACTGGGCAGCCTGCTCCAACGGCGAACCCTTGCCCAGGTCCCCATTCTTCACGGCGCAGTCCGGAAGTCCTCCACGACCAGGTCCTAGCCCTCCTTGGGTTCCGTGATGTGGAGTTGCAAATCCCTCCCGGTTCTCAAATCCGTCCTGCCCTCCAAGAACTCCCGCTTGAATGGCTCCCAGCCACGATTCTGGTACCGGAGGCTGTCCCCGTCCAACTTCATGAAGTTCTCCCGAAGGTCGATGAACCGCATGCTGTAGTCCTCCATATCCATCTCCAGGAAACTCTGGAATCGCTCCCAGGGTCGTTGTGCCCACCTTCCTTTCAGCCTCCGGAGTGGTGGGTGGCGGACCTGTCGGTGGACTCGGTGGAGGAGTCGACGATGGAGGCCTCGGTCGATCAGAACTCCCTCTTGAGCATCGAATTCTGTGCCATCACGGCCTTCATAACCTCCTTGAGGTCCATCCCAACCGCATCCTCGGTCGCCATCTCTCCAGTCGAAGGTGCCGAACTCTGTGGCAGTGAGGTAGGTCGCATCGCTCGGAGCATAGCTTCATCCTTCATCGTCTGCGACCAAAAGGGATTTACCTGGGGGGCTGGATGTCCCCCAAACCCTTTCCCATCCTTCTTTCTGGACTCCTCTCGCCTCTGAGGGCCATAGGAGGTCGGGGGGCCCACCAGCAGCAGCTCCTGCGAGACCAAAGCGACGATCCCCGCCTCCGGCGGCGCATCTTCCAGCGCCAAAGTGCCACCCTCCTCTCGGGCGCTTTCCATGGAGGAACCCCCTTCCGGGGATCCGGCGCCTGCCGCGCCTCCGCCCTCAGCCGCCGTCCGCTGCCTCCGTCGAGCCATGGCGGCCATCAACTCGCCTCTCCTCGCGAGAAGGTCGAGGTGGTCTTCCTAAGAACACCGCGTTGGGCTCATAACCTCCGTGAGCGTGATCCGCTCCTTTTCTGTGCTAAAAAAGGGCTCCGGTGCGATCATAGCCATAAGGCCTTCGAAACTTGGTACACTTCGATTTGTGCACCCACAAATTCAACCCAGTTTCACACCCCACAGAGTGAGGGACATACTGTACTCCAATTGCGCATGCGACTGACTTTGCAAGCGAGTTTTTTGTCACCTATGGGCAGCGGGGAGGCCAGCTGAAATCTTTGTGGAGCTGTTTGGGCCAGTTGTAACTGAAGCAGTCTCTCCGTGGCGCGGCCTGAGGTTTGGATTGTTCGGTTGTCTTGTTTTCAGGGTTTTGACTTGTGAGGGTTAAAAGGAGTGATGTGGAATGAAGCCTAAATGAATGAAGTCCGAGAAAAGGATTGCTTTAGACTGGCCGCAGTGCCCCAGACAAGAGAGTGGAATGAATTGTGCCGAATTGTGCCAGGCACGCTCGAATGTTGAAATGGTGGGAATCTAACTGAGCTTATGAATGCCAATCCTTGGAAAATGACGCCGAAAAAGAAGGACGAAGTCCAAGAGACCAAGTTTTATATATACATGTTACGTGCACACAATACATATATACGGATATATACGGTGTATATATATATAAACATATAAAGTTCGTTTGACCAATTCCTGATCTCGCGGGTTGCGACACATCTCCGAATCCAGAAAAAAACGCGTTCCACAGCGCTTGCACTGCAGCGTTTGCACTGGAGTGTTCGAGGTTAAGTTTGGGTGCCATGTGCGGCTCCAACAACACGGGCGAGTTGTCTGCTATGGCCGAGGCCGAGGTTGTCGGTTTTGCGAGGCTTGACATGGCCGGGTTGTTTTCGGGGTCACAAGGCTTTGCTATGGCTGCGGGATGAATGCCCCGAAGAAAGGACGCCAGCCGTGCTGCACTACGACTCAGAGTCTCAAGATTGCACTGGTCTCACATTGCCCAGCTGACATTCAAGTCATGAGTCATGTTGTTGAAAAAGGTATGTGGCCAACATCGTGCTGGGCCGCAACCGTGCTCACAAGAGCCTTGGCAGACATTGTGCAAGAGTGCCGCTTGCAGAGAGCGCCACACTTCTGACCTGTTATTTGAATGCAGTGCGGAAGACTCAGTAGAAGCTTTCTGGGGCATGTTTATGTCTCTTTTGCTGAGCAGCTTTTCACTCTTTCCCACTTTCTTCCTTCATCTTTGTAAAAGTCACATGAAGGAATGTGGAGCTCGCCCAGAAGTTGCAAGGACTCTATGCTGAAGTGCAGGCCGCAGTGATGCGGTGCATGCGTTTGTGGGTTTTTCTTAAGAGTTTTCTTTCAAAACGACACCAGCTTGGAGATTCACAGCCACAATTTCATCATCATCATCATTTTCTTCTTCTTTTTAGGTTGGAGGCCATCGCTATTAAGTTGCTTATTGAATTCTTTTTTTTCCTTCTCCGGAACCTTGCCGCCAATCCGTCGATCCGTCGTCGTTCGGATCGCTCCTACGGCGAGGCCTCGCGGCCCGTACGACTCTCCCACGTCAAGGGCCATTCGGGCTGCGCAGGGAACGAGCGTGCTGATCAGCTGGCCGCGCAAGGCGGAGGGCTGGAGCGAGAAGATGAGAACATTTGGCATGGGTTTTGAGGGTTGGGCTCCCTCATGGACGTTTGATTTGGATGTTGGGGTTCATTTCAACAAGCACGACCTGTCCTGAAGCTTGTTGGACCGCTTTACGGCGTGCCCGCAGCCTGCAGGTACGGAGGGGAGATTCAGCTTGCAATCCAAGCGCTGGGCCAAACACGCTGAAGCCGCAGAGGCTGCTGGCCTGGCGAACAAGGCCCAATTCAACCTGTTGAGCCTTTGAAACGAGAAAGTCAGAGCCAATGAAAAGAGAAGGTCTAAGCTATGTCCCGTTCAGGAGCTTGAGCTTGATTATGTTGGTTTTACAGACTTCAAATTGAACCCTTGTCCCTTGCTGCCGCATGCTGCCGCTTGCTGCCGCTTGCTGCCGCTTGCTGCCTGCTTCCCTGACTCGCAAGCCGCGCAGGCTTGCGTCATCACTGTGAAAGTGGAGAAAGGCGGGTGGACATGTTACAGTATTTCTGCATCCTGCCATTCTAGCCATCACACAAGCTTTGCACCACTTGAGCTCACAACAGCTAGTCAAGCCTTGCAACCTCTCACAATCTATATACCCTGACAACAGTTGACACGCATCACCTTTGCAACCTTTTGAAGGACGCCGACCACCAACACCGGCAACTGGTAGAGCCAAGAAAGCGCGGCGGCTTGCGTTGGCAGATCCGGGTGATGCCGAGTCATCGCCCGGCGTGGCGCCAGTGCTCTGAGCAGCTGAAGAGCTTTGCCGGTGAGGCATTTTCCATGATTTGGTATGAAGAGACTTGAAGAGTCATACCAAATATTGATAGTTTTTTGTTAGTGTGCCTTTGAGAATGGGTGCACGTTGACTACAAGCTTGATGCTAAGGGGAACCCTTGTGAGTCTCAAAGGCACTTCAAATTCAATGTCGCAACTACTTAATGCTGCAAATCGGAGGCTCGGCGGTGTGTTTTTCGCGAAGAAAAGCCTGCGCATGCCGGACCCATGCCATGCCATGCCAAACTCATGTCGAAAGAGTTTGTTGATGGTGTAGTACGTGTTGCGGGATTTTGGCTTAGGGTGTTGCTTTTCTAGCTTTCTTGGACAATGGCGAGTGAAGACACTCCCTTGCGGCCTGGCCGCTGCACTATCTCGGGTGAGGCGAGGAAGCGAGCTATGGTCTTTGCATCTGATTCTTTGCGTTTGCTTTGTGTCCTCCCCTGTCCCGCCTTGTGCTAGGTCTACAAAATCGATGGCAAGGAGGTGGTGTTGATTCTCGGCGGAGACTAAAGTGACCAGCCTCCCGCCCGCCTCGTCTCCGTGCCGGACCTTGGTGCCGGCCGTGCCGATAGCGACCAGGATGGGTGGCAACTACTGCGTCAAAGCAGGACCATACTACCCGCCACTGGAGGCAGATGGGCCATGTGGGCTTCAATTGGATCTTGTTGGATGACGCCCTGCCCTGCCATTCCGGCAGGTGGTTCGGAAGGATGCCAAGCTGATGGCAAAGGGTGCGAAGTCGTGATTTGGCTGCAGAGCGGTGGCGAAGTTGCGAAACGCCTCCGATGTTTGATCTCGGTGAGGATGGCCTATGTGCCACCACCCGCAGCTGATGGCACTCCCAGACCTGCAGCTCAGCTTCCAATAAAGACAGACATAGACAGATCAGACTGCTGAGCTTCCATTTCACTGCTTGACTAAGTGTTTGCAGAGTTGCGAAGGTAGTTCCTTGTGTCCGGCTGCCAGCCCTGATGGAAAGTGCACTTCCTGCAAAGGGTCCTATCGAGCCTCGTCATGGGTGGGGGAGGGCAACACAGAAAGCACGGCACTTTCAGTGGCGGAGTGATCGCGATGTGGTTGGAGGACCTCCCGATTCTAATGCACAGCTTCTGCAAGGCCTAGCTTCCTTAGGCAATATTCTGAGGGCATTGGACTTCTTGTATTCTGAGGATGCCACCTTCAAAAGCAAACTGGAAGAGACCATACAGGCTTTTCGAGATGAGGGTGTCTACGACGTTCAGCTTGAATAGACAGCTTTGCTTGAGCTGGTGAGCGATTGGACTAGTTTGTGTTGTTTGCCGTGGACGGCTGGGAAGACTTGATGTAAGGTCTTTCTTGATATGCACCAAGACGCCTTTGGCACCACAAATGGTGGAGTCGCTTGGCAGAGCGCCTCAAGCCGTTGTCTTTCTTGCTGACCAAGGGGGCTTCATTCTACAACCTTCCAAATTCTGTTGCTTGTTCCTGAGGAAGGTTACCCCTGGTGGGTGGCAGAGGATTTTCAGAAGAGGGCAGGTTGCTGCCTGGAGCAGTGTTGCTGTTGCTGCTGCTTTTCCAGCAGCTGCTGGTCTTGCTGTCCGGAAAAATGTCGCACCTCATACGTTTCAACCCCGCAGCATCCATTGCAGCCTTTCTGTGGCCTACCAAACTGCCTGGCCAAATGCTTTAATGTGGGCATCACGACCGGTGTTTGTCGAAGAAACATTGAGGGACGTTTATTTTCCAAGTGTTTCACGGCAGGGAGAAATCATTATGCATGGTGTGTCCCTGCTCCAGGACATACAGCGAAGATCCTGAACCCTGGCTTCCCTATTCCGTGGGTGGCGGACAGGGTAATCCTGCCCTTATGAACATTGGCAATGCCAGCATGAGAACCAACAACTCTGATGATAGATGGAGTACATTGATAACGTCTGCGCAAGTTCAGAATTGTGTTCCACGCGTCTACAACTCCGCTCACCATGCGGAAGACAAAGCCACATTCTTCGATCCTTTCGTGGGATTGGCCAAATACCTGTGCAGTGTTTGGGACAAGCACCTTGGCTGGATCGGTTGGGTTCTCGACTCTGGTGCCGCAAGGTGTTGCATTGTTATCACTAGTTAGTGGTCGCCAATGTGTAATGGTCTCCCCGAAGATATTTTTGGCCAGGCAACCTGAGCTTGAAGTAAAACACATTGCAATTAAGGCATTTTAAAGGTGCCACACCCAAGTTTTGCGCCCTGCATGCACAGAAACATGGCTCTGGCATTAGCTGGCCCTAGCTCCCAGCTTGCTGCCACAAAATATGGAGGGGCAGCTGTTGAGCCTGTGAACTTGATGTTCATGGCTGAATCAGTTTGTGGCACGTTCCTTGACCCTCTTGAGCTCTCCCGCTTTGCTGTAACCACAGGTCGGTGAAGGGTCCAAGCTCAAAATGGTGAAAGGTCTTTGTGAAGGGTCACACTCGGCAACACTTGAAACTGAATCACTCCTTACATGCTCGTGCTATGTCACAGTGTCAAAGGAGGAGGCAAGTCCCAAAAAGTGTCGACCATGGAAAGAGCACCTGCAGCTAGGCCCAGCTCAGTCACTTCAACGCACACAGCTGCAATGCAGCTTGCTGTTTGCTTTTCTTAGTGGCCGGTGTTTTGCTTAAGAAGCTGGCAGAAACTCCAGAAGGGCTAGGGCACCTTACCATGCAGTTCTGCACAAAAACGTGCGAAGGGTTTTCAGGAGAACGAAGCGTCTGCTTCATGATTTATTTTTGCAACCCTTTCAAGTTTCTATTCAGCGTTACAGGTATGAGAATGTCGTTGCGCTGGAGCTCATGAATGAACCTCTTTTGGGCGGCTTGCCAAACCTGTTCCATTTCTTCACTATTTGGAGGCAGATTCTTTCCTTCCAAGCAGATGTGATGGAAGCTGCCCAGCTTGTCTAACTGAGGAGTTCGTTGACCTAACTATAGTCTTTCGACATATTAACTCAGCACAAAAATATACGACTTTGCTCCCAGTAGCTTCTTGCTCCTACTAGTAAGGCCAGGAGCCCCTGGCAGCGTCCTTGCTCCTAGTAGCGATGCCCTTTGCTCCTAGTAGCCAACATTACTCCTAGTAGCGACTTGAATGACTCTTGGCAGGTTTTCGCTTTTTGCTGCTTCACTGTGCCCGGCTCGAGGAACACCTCTAAGGCTTTGGACGAGGATCCATCCATCAAGTGCCCGATTGCAATAGCAAACTGGAGCAGTACCGTAGAAGGACCGAATGACTCCAGATCCTTTGCCATGAGCAAACACAGGCGACATGGAACTGCAGAAGTGCTCGATCACTTGCCATGTTGTTCAAAGCATCAACATCGAACACTCTTTTTGTGTGCATGTGCTTCGGACATGTGGTTGTTCTTACCATCGGTAGCGACTCGCCAGGAGAATCTTGCTTCGTCTCCTGCCTGGCTTGTTTTGGACTGGCGTCCGAGTGAGTGAATCCAATGAGTTGAGCTGTTTGGACGGAACAGGGACACCCAGTGGGCACGCAGTGGGCACGAGACATGGCTGTTCAGGAGCTCCCAGCAGCGCCATGAAGTGCTTCAAGTCCTATGCAAACCAGAATCGCCTGATCCTCTCCTTCCATTTCTATTCTCCACCTTCAACGGCCGCACGGCAATTAGACAACATCCTACCGATGTTTCAGAACTAAGTGGAAACCAGAAAGGATTCCAATTACCAAGTGTGAGTGTGTACAATTCCAATCTGTAGTGCCATGCCTAGTTGCCCCATGTGTCTCTTGCCGCCGCCCCGAGAAAGCCATGGAAGAAGACATTCAGCTGGCCAAAAAGAATGCGGCCAAGTTCGGCGGCATCCCTATTTTTCTCAGCGAGTTTTGGGAGGCACGGCACGGCCCAATTTTTTCGTTGCAGCAATGCATGAAAAGCCATTGAGAAAGGTTTTCTTTAGGCTTGACCTTGCTTTCTTGCTACCTCCATGTGGGGTCACAGGACAGTGCCGTCAACTTTGCAGACAAGCTTGCAATGGCTTGCGATGAAGGTGTCAGCGCCATCACCTACTGGCAGTATGTCGCCTGATGAAGCGAGAGAAATCAAACCCTCAGCCATCCCTTGAAGAACCGATTCCTAGTAGCGTCCTTGCTCCTAGTAGTAAGGCCAGGAGCCCCTAGTAGCTTCTTGCTCTTAGTAGCGATGCCAGGAGCCCCTAGTAGCGTCCTTGCTCCTAGCCAGTTAAAGCCTGGTCCCGAAACATCAACCCAGCAAATACTCGGCTAGAACCCACCAACGCTCCTCCCCGCTTCTCAGGCAGACACAGAGTGGACTGGGCAAGAAGGCTGGTTTAAATATCCAGCTTCAGTCACATCAATTGGAACTCCGGTGGACGCCTCCGGCAACATCAACACGGCGGTGGCTCGGTCGGTGGCTATTGGCACGAGACGAGTTTCTTTTTTGGAACGTGTTGAGGTAGACTCCAGGTTCGCAGAGGCAGGACAGCTTTTACATCTCTCTATCGTTCTTTTCTCAAAGAATGATGGAACTTGCTCTCTTGCTCTTCGCCAAGGCTTGGGATGCTTATTCCAAGACGGTGGCTGATGGCACCTTTTTTGGAGGATACATCACTGGTGCTGGAGGTGCCTTGCCGCAGCTTCCTTGCTGTTGCAGTTGCTGGATGTAGAACCTCCCATAGAACACGGGCATATTTTGGACATCATCTTCTAGTTTATTGGCCGAAGACTCCGAGGACCACCGCATTTCTTTGTTGGCCAGGATTTCCTAGAATGGTTTTCTAAACGAAGGAAAGTGGGTGTGTGCACATGCTGTGCCCCGACATTTCTTGTGGACCAGGACGCTTCCAAAAGTCGTGTCCATGTTCATAGTACCTTAAATCATCAATGAGCCTCTAGAGGTTTTTCAGGGATCTTCAGTGCATCCATGGGTGATGACTTGTACCATGTTCATGCAATACTGTAAGTACTAGATGGGTCGTCGGCAGGGATATCCATCTTGAAGTCACTAGTCTTGGGTGCTGGCCACGAGGCGCTCAGATGAATGTCTTGGAGTTGGTTCCTCCCGAGAGTGCAGCTGTAAAGATGGAACGAAAGGTGTG